AAGTAGGTAGAAACTTGAATTATAAATAAATATATATGTAAAGAAGAAAAAAAACAAATAAGGAAGAATGACAATGAAGTAAAAACAAAGTTTAGAACTTATTTATTAATTCGCGTTTTAGAGACTAAATTTGTAATTTAAAATAACCTTTGGTTCGAGGAGGAGTAATCTACCTATTTCATAAGCAACGCTACTGTAGACAAGCAAGAAGATTCAAAATCGACACAAAAATTGATAGTGCTAATTTTATTAAAATATTTATTGACAGACACAACAACTAAAACATAAATTTAAAAGAAAAAGAAAATGTAAGTTCCCAACATCTTATAACAATTTATCAATTTTTTTAATGTCATCCCATGCTCTATTAACAAACTTTAGACCTATCACTAAGATACGAGTTAGTAAAATATCCTTATAAAAAAAAAAGCTGCAAAATAATCTCTAAAATACAAAAAGCTAAAACATTTAATAATATTAAAAAGACCAAAATAATTTTTTTTAAAAAAAAGCTAAAGATTCTTAAAAGCATCAAAATATAATGGAGAGCAAAATGAAGGTGGTCGCCGCATATCCCTTGGAAGATGCTGTTACCGACAACCGGCTGGACCGGTAAACCCTAATTTTATATATATTCTCTTTTCTTCTCCTGGTCTTCTCTTCTGGCCACATAAACCAGCCAATTTATGATGATCTTTTCTCCGACCGAATTTGTTTCAGCTCCGGCGAGGCTCCACCGCCGTGGCCGCCTCCCGATAGCGTGATCCACGGCGGTGGGGAGGTAGCGAGAGTTCTTGATCATCAGGGCAAGCTCCATATCCTTTGGCATATTCGTTTCTTCTTTTTTTTTTGGTAGAAACTACAATAAGTGTGCTGGCTTGGCTGTAAAAGTTATTTTACGAAGCTGTAGAAATTTTGGGTACGTTTTGTTTTATAAGGTTCTATATCACGAATTTCAGCTGTGTAAAGTGGGTTGGTTCGATTCGATTTTGTCTACTTTAAACGAATATATAAGCTTCTTTTTATATATATATATATAAAATTGACGGTTGTTCACCGGGAACTTAGGAGATGATAAATTTGGAAATAAATATATAATCTTCTGATGCTTTCTCTCAAGTATGAACTTTGATTTAAAGTTTTGTAGCCTTCGGATTCTTAATCTTCAAATGGTCTTTTTGTACTTCTCTGAATAATTTCGAATTGCTTAACTATCGATAACTCTTAATTGTTATATCTCATCTCTTCTTGACCTCTTTTATTTATAGAGTAAGTCTCGCAACTTTCTTTTCATGTATGATCTGAGATTGTGGCTTTGAGCCAGACGTGAGCKGATCTAATTAGTCAATTTTATCTTGAGATTATTTAATTTGTTAATTTTTAAATTAAATTGAAGATACGTATAAATTTGTGATTTGTCCCAAATTTAACGATATATATTTTTGTTATTTATTTAAATTAATGACATGGAAAGTGATAACGGATCAAAATTTATCAGTATATACAATTTAAATTCATCAAACTAACGTGGAACTTTGATCACTTTCTCGACAGAAATAACTTGCGAGATCGTAAAGTAGGTAAGAAAAGATTGGTGAGAGGAAATGTAAATGAGGAGTTAGTGAGATAAAAAGGCTTATAGGAGGAAAGTTAAAAGAGGTGGCTGTTCAGAGAATTTAAGAGAGAGAAAGTATGTAGAGAGAAATTTGTTAGAGAAAATGTGTGTATATTGAGGGATTAATTATGAAGTTTCCAAGCCAAAAGTGATCAAAGCAAACGTGTATCAATTGTTTATAATTTGTTAAACACTTATAAATAATTTTTACTTTTTTGAAAATTTAATACTTTTAATTTAGAGTCAACTAGTATTATTTTATGTAAAAATATTTTTAACTGTGAAATATAATAAAAATATATTTCACTGATTAAATCACTTCCAAACATATCGTCTGACCAATAATAAATAATTGTGTCTTATATATGTAAGAAGAGCCATGAAATTTTTAGAGTGTTTGGTTGGTGATGTAGAAAGAGAAATCTGAAAAATAGAGTTGTATTAATTGTTTTAATGTAATTATTTTAAAGTATCAAATTCAAAATCTATTTCTACTATTTGAATCAAATAATCCTTCCAAATAAATTTTGATGATCAAAAGTAAATGACTTTAAATTTTAAAAATTTTGGATAAAGCTTGGAAAAGGAGGAGGGAAAATTTTATGCAAAAGAGATCCAAGTAAATTATGCATACTTCTCGTGGGAGATTCTCTGTATAAACATTGTTTTTAGTACAACGATGGGATAGAGAAATTCAAACTCATGACCTCTTAGTCAAAAGTTGACGTCAATTACTATTGAACAAAGCTCATGTTGGCTTATCTATATAAACATTTGGTTCGTGATTTTAATAAGTTTGTATTTATGGACATGCGTTTGTGTTTAATTATACCTCCATTGTTTAAAAAATTTATACATCGTAACTTGTCTGTTAAAAATATCGTATTAATATTCATGGGGTCCAACCGAACCCAATAGAGGCACCATGAGGAGGCATATTAAGAATCTCACGTTGAAAAGATAAGAGACATAACAAAAAGTTTATAATCTAATAATAATTATTAAAATTGTTTCCAAAAGTTTCATTTAAATCTAATAATAATTATTAAAATTGTTTCCAATCAACTATTTCGTTAATTTCTCCCATTAAAATGAAAATTGAAATGTGAGTTGTAAAATGGAAATTACACGTGTACAATACAAATGACAATCAAATAGTTTTATTCATATTTAAAATGGTGCCGATTAAGGAGGAAAGTAGATTTGGAGGGTGGAGTTTTAGTCAAAATTATATCCTTTTAAGTTGAGAAGTCACACATTGTGAGAAAAATCACGCACAGGTAAAAACAAATTTTGTTTCCTCCCAAATCTTTTGATCGTGAGAGGAAGAACATTATTTTTATCCTAACCTCCAAAAATTTTCGCATGACCTCATTTTTTAATGTGAACTAAGACCCTTAAATTTGTTTTGCAACTCACCATGGTGTCAAATTTTCCATCCTCATTTTAACAATAAAACTAACCCAAAAAGTTGTTTCGAACCGTTTTAAAAGTTAAGAATTAAAATAAGACTGTTTAAACTATGTAAGGGCCAGTTGTATAATTAAAACTTAATCCAAAAGTTCAAGGGTGCATAATTGAAACCACTTATGCCCACATGCACCCAGTACCTCTGATTTGACAATTTAACGCCCAACTCACTGACATGTCACATTTTCATTTCCTTTTTAACAAAAAAGTTGATAGAAAGGTATTTTTAAACAATTTTAAAGATCCAGRGTAGAATTAAAACTTTTGAAATAATAGCTATATAATTGAAACAAATCCCAAAGTTGAAAGGTATTATACCTTATTCCTAATTTAAGTGTAATTTGTCATGTGTATGGTCTTAAAATTCAAATTTACAAAATGTGACCTTCAACTATGTGATTGACATATAAAAGTATTTGATTCAAGAGGTAACCTAAAGAATGTAGGAGTATATAGGAAATAAAATTGATTACATTAACATTCTGATATATACGTAGGCGAGAACACGGGAAGGGGTCAGATTTATCCCGACGGGAGATGTTTAATGTAATGCACTTTAGACTAAAATATGATGATTCGACACGACGTAGCATAAAGAAGTATGTCGTCTAAATAAAATAATGGTAGACAAGCTAAAGTATTTGATAAGACAACCAGGCGAAGTACATTTTAAACTAAAATTTTTGGTCTACTCACTCTTATTTTCACACAACTGGCATACTCGTTTGTATCACATGTTGCTACATTGCACCAAATTATCATTTATTAGTCTAATAAATATGTCGTGTCAATATTTAGATAATGATGTTTGCTGCAGAATTTTATTAGAATAAAAATCAAAAACATCGAAAATGTAATTGAAACTTTTTAACCAAATTCAAAATACCAAATTTATAATTTAATTTATATTTTGCATAAAGAGAATAATGTCATATATTTACATTTCGAATGAAAAACTTCGGTATATGAGTTACTCGCCCTACCTTATAGCAAAAAGGTATTTGAATAAAATATAAAAATTTTACAAAACTTTAAAAGAATTATTACATGTATCCAATTAATAGAAGTTTTTTTTTTTTTTGGCATATGTTTCCATTTTATTTTATTTTTATAATACTACAAAATATGATTTTCTAGTTCTATTTTTTTTTATTTTGTATATAGTTGGTCAAACTATTTTATTTTCTTCTTCATATATATCTTTTATGATATATCAGTGCAACTACGAACTACTACGAATAGACCAAAGATCAATAACCGACTTATAGGGCTCAATTAATTAATGCAATAATTAGCAATAGGCAGAAGTATAAATAATTATCACTCTCTTGTTTGAATTATAATATTTTCAAAAGAAAAAACAAATCTATTATAATACTGAAAAATACATTGTAAATCGTAAATCCTTGAATAAGAGTCGTTTTAGTTAGCTAATGATCTTTGGCCGAGCACCAGCCTCATTAATTTTTTTAACTACTAAACAACAAGTCGACATCTTCGTGATTCTCAGTTTGAAAATGCTCCTCTATACATAAAAAATCGTTTTTATGGTCCCGACTACATGTCTTTTGGACCCTATATTAGTAGTGGATTCGAACCACTGACACAAGGATTTCAGTGCCACGTAGGCACAATAATTCTAGAGTATTATGAATTAGACGAGAATTTATTTACTTAGCAAAAAAAGAATAACAAATTGCAATATTTTAACATTTTAGGAAATTTGAAAATTAGAAAAAAAATAATAAAAAAATCAATTTTGTTAGTGCTCTAACCGTCGAGTGGATCAACGATTACTTCTAAATCTCAAGGCGGGAAACTGTTTTGAAATTTGAAATTCAAACGGGGCAGCTCCGCAAATTAAAATAATTACAAAAACGACCCCTTCTATAAATTTGGGAATTATCATTTTCCTCCCCTCAGGTTTCCATATTTGCTCCTTCTCCCAAAATCAAACCACTATTTTAACTTCTTCGTCTTCTTCTCCTTCTTCGTCGCTCTCCCAAGGTCTGCGCTTCCTCTTCTCCGATCTTCTCCCAATAATCTCACTTTCTCAAGATTTTTCGCTTTCAGTTCTGAATCTCTCTCTCTCTCTCTCTGTGATTTTGTTCAGTTTTCTTCAGATCGAATTTGAAGGCGCGAGCGAACCCTAGCGATTTCAGTCACATATTCAGTGCGATGGGCCAGATCCAGTACTCCGAAAAGTATTTCGACGATACCTATGAATACAGGTCTGTAATTTCTCATCCTCATCCGTTTTCCGATTCTCTGGCTTTTTCCGTCGGTATGGTTGATTTTGATGGTTTCTGTTTATGTCTGTGTAGGCATGTGGTGCTTCCCCCGGAAGTCGCTAAACTTCTCCCCAAGAATCGCCTTCTTTCCGAAGTAAGTACTAGTTCATGATTCTCCTGCGAAATCCAAGCCGAAACCCTAGCGGTTCCTTGATTTGATCATTTTCTTTAATCATGGACTGTTTTTTCTCCGATTGATTGTGATGATCTCTACGGTTTGAATTCTGCGTAATTTGATGATTTGCCTGACGATGAGCAGAACGAATGGCGGGCGATCGGGGTTCAGCAGAGCCGGGGATGGGTCCACTACGCAATCCATCGCCCAGAGCCGCACATTATGCTGTTCAGGAGGCCACTCAACTATCAGCAGCAGCAGGAGAATCAAGCGCAGCAGATTATGGCCAAGTGATGGATTTCGTTATCTTCTCTAGGTACACTATATTTGTGTAGAACACTTATAAAATATCATTGCCCAAAAAAAAAACAAAAACAAAACAAAAAATCAGGTCTCTGTGTTTGTTGTGTAGTGTAGTTGTTCTTTCTTCTTCTCCAATTTGGAGAAGCTGTGGCTCTCAGTATTCTGTCATAGTCATAAGCCAGAATTTCCCCCTTCCCTGTTGACGAATTTGTGGTTTTAATTGCTTTTGGTATAAATATGGTTCATTTCTGCYGTTCTTCTTCTAATAATACTATCTTCTGGAAATTGTTTTGTGTTGCGATTTTGATATGGGATTGGGTTGATCTATATCAACATTGTAAAAGTATGCAAAATAATACTGATTCTTTGGACCAAATTGAAACTACTCTCAAATTTTAAAGATTAAATTTGTAGTTTCAATTTTAGAAAGAATTTGAAATAATAGAGAAATTATAGTAGAAATAAATTTTATATAGTTCAAGAGCGTTTGTATATAATATAATTCAAACTGACAATCATTATTTAATTGTGTGAATTTAATTTTTGTCATCGTTTGATAGATTATTCATAGTTCCATCAACGATTTTATAAAATTTTAAGTTCCATAAGAAATAGTATATATATTTTAGGGATTAAACAACTATGGCATACACTATTAATCTTTTTCGTTTTGAAAAAAGAAATGACAAAATATGAAGAGATCTCATCAAAATATTATTAATACACATATATCAATATTAACTTCTTTAAAAAAAGATAAAATGTTAATTTATTGATTTAAATATTTATTATGAATCTTTTATTTGTATATTCATTGGCATTTTTATAAAATTGAAACCTTATTTTAAAATCTTAATCTTATATGACAATAATGAAAATTATTTTATTGGTTTTAGTTTTCAAATATTTTTTTAATTCAATTAAAAATATCTTTAAAAATATATAATAAAGCATTTTTGTCACTTTGAGAATGCCACATTATTTCTACATTAAACTCATGAATTTACAAACTTGTACCATCATTTTCTTCGTAACGAAATTKTAAAATTTAAATATCTAGAAACATTACTGAAATCTCATGGACCAAGAAAAGAAAGTGTAGAATTATCCCTAATTTCGTTTTACTATACATTCCTAAAATTTACTATACATTCCTAGAATTGTAGAATCTCGCTAATCAATCTCAGCATGAACATAGTCAATGAACACAAAATTCTTTTGGAGTTCAAACAAAGCATAAGCCATCCCAGCGCTTGCGAGTGCGAGACCCGCCAGAAGAATACGTATCTGCAGAGTAGACGGGACACCGGCCGTTGCTGCAAAAACTACAGTTGCACCAATTAGCAGCTTCTGCAGTGTCTGAAATGACTTATAAGCTCCTCTACATGAGGAACAATGGAGTGTGTGTTGCTCAAATCTGTCCAACATCTGCGCAGGCAGCAGATTGGGTGAAGTGAGAGATGAGTTAGATTCATAAGATTATTCTAACGTAATCTAAGTAGGGAATTTTTACTCACGAGCTCGATTTGTGTAACCTAGAAGAAGAAGTCGAGTCTATGTTTGGTACTTATCACAACGATTCCATGGTGAAATCATAAACCGACCAACCAAACATGAGTTACATCTTAAGGGTAGTATTATTGGTCATTGGACAACCAAAATCTTATGGTTCAAATTGGACCATCTACTAATAATAATATATAAGTTTTAAGACTAGCAAAAAACTAAAAGCAGTAATTATCAGTTCTAAACTTGGTGAAAAGAGAGGTTAGATAGGACTGTATCTAAAATTTACAACAATCTAGATGCTGGTAATTTTCTGTACCTGACGTTTAGATAGGACGGTTGACGGTAGAGGCTGCTGGCTGCTAGCCCCAAACCATTCTGGTTGGCCCTTGCCATGCCGCCTCAGCCAATTTCGGAATGCCAGCACCAACCGATCTGCTTGCGTGGGTGTAAATGTTATTTTAGTGTATTCTTTGTTAACATCTGTCGAATCTTCCATGGCCTTCGACAAAAATATCTTTTCCTGACCCTGAAGCACAATCATGTCACCATCATATACCTTGTTCGACGTCCAATGCTCGTGCCATCTAGGGACCACCTAGTAGAAGCAAAGGTAGGAAGTGAAACATGGAAAGAGGAATATCTCATCAAAATACTTATACTTCTAATATATAAATAACAGGGAAGAGATTTGGTTAACATGGACTGCTTACCTGCCACCAAGCAGGACCGGGCATAGAAAACTGGAAGAAGTTTCGAGCACTGCATACAATAGAACGGGTTTTTCCAGGACCCATTGGCACATTAAAGGAGCAAATCCATATTACCCATTTTTGATCGCCAAGTACTGGAAGCTTAGTGTCTATCTCTACTCTGAAGAGAAAACAAGTTTATGTTAGTGTTGAACCTATAAGGATTTGTGTATAAAAAAATTCACCATGTTGAGCATTTAAACAAAAGAAAATAGCATGGAGAAACAGTTGCCAACAAATTCATTTGATTTTAGTTTTTGCTAATATTATGTTAGCACTTAAAAGGAAAGGACTGCCATTGTATTGCTTTTTAAGGAAAAGCTATAAAACTTCTAAACGTACGAGAGGTTTGATATTTCTGCACGCTGGAGTTCTCCAGTCAATTCTTACCAACTATTTGCTCCCTTCTTTATCCTTATGTCGTCACCCGACTCACCCCTTCTATCCACCTATTACTAACAGACTTATCAACTTGCACCCACGGTTGATCGTCTTCTCAGTCTCTTCTTACCTCCATAACAGATGATTCATCCCTATTCCCTTCCGATGTTGCACAGTAACTCCACTGACAATTTTCAGACCATCCCATGTTACCAACCACCCCTAATCAAGTTTCCATCAATTCCTTCAGCTTTCCATCTTCTTCCCTCTCACGATAGAGGAGGTTAAAATATTAAAGCTCGAAAGTAATTGAATAACATTGTATTTCTCATTGTGGAAAAGTTACAAGAATTCCAGACTTTCAAGAGGTCTAGTACTCTCACACACTAGAGTTCCTCTAGTCACTTGTTACTAACTATTGATTCCCTCCTATATCACCCCTTTTATGCCCCTCCTAACAGATTAGTCGTTAATTAGGAGTTTTTTATGCATATAGTTGGGAAGAGGAAGTGAATTAGTTAAGCTGTTAATAGTAAGAGGTCTAAAAGGAAGAGGGAGATGTAGGAGAAAGTTGGGATAGATATGGTAGAGAGATAGTCCCCTCTCAAAAGGCTGTCAACCATTCTACTAAGCTACCTACTAATCTTTTGCTTAATGCATGAGGTTCCTATCATCATACCTGCATAAGCATAATTATCGATATATAGTATCAGAGAATGTGAAAGGGAATATGCCAACAATCTTAAGCTATGCATTAGTCAAATGTGAACGCAAAGGGAATAAGAGTGAAATTCTTACTTGTTGATATAGTAACACGGAGCAACGAACTTAGCACTGATCCTTGGGTTCCCCTTATTTGCTCCAGAAAATCCCCAGGGACCATTAGAATCCAACTTAAAAGGTAAAGGTTTTGCTCGATCCCTCCTCCCTGTAACCTGTGAAGGCGGTCTATTTCAGTTGCAAGTCATTGGGATCTTCAAAAAAAGACAAGTGTGATTTTCTAAACCAAAATTTCAGGTACAATTGAGGTACTAAGATCAGAACTTCTCCTCCCATATGTTATTGTTTCTTGAAACGTAATTTTTTCTATAAAACGTAGTAAATAACTAACTATCTAACAGCACAGAGTAGGTACCATCCAAGCCTTTTGTACTTTATATGTGAAACATTTCATTGGACTAAGCATCCAGCAGAACCAGAAATAACAGTAAAACAAAAGCTAGCATAATGATTCAATCTATAACTGTTCACCGATGCCAAACTCAAGTAAAATAGAAACAGGTTTCTCTCTCTTTGGCATTTTCCCTTACCTTGTGATGAGCAAAATCAATGTGGGAAGGATCTGAGACATTCTCCATTAGTGTATCATAACCATAAAATAGATCCCGCTGAATCGTAACGGATGAGAACTCAGGCTTATCGAAGTCATCAGGGAGCCTAGACAATAGCAGTGATAATGAAGGATTGACTGCATATTGCAATTAAATTATAGATGGAAAGGGAATGAAGCTTATTCATTGTGAAAATTTCTGATCAAGAAGGTTAAAAAAATGGAGATTCAAATTCTGAATCATGTACCTTGGAGGTGCTGTGGCATTGACTCTTTCCCAACCGTTCTCATCAGGCCAAACAAAGAGAAGGCCTTGGGAGACCAGAGTAGGGAACCTTGTAGCACATGCTCGTGGCGACTGATGAGCCCGAGATTCTGGGCCTTCTGATGATGCCTGAGGGATTTTAACACAAGATCCACACCCATCGAAGGACCATCCATGGTATGAGCACTGCAAGTTGCCACCTTCATCTATCCGCCCTTCCTAAAAAATTACACCATCTCATTGAAGTTAGGGAGATTCTAGGGTTTAGAATCTAGGCTGGTATATTCGTAACAATTCTTATTTTACTCTTTTTTGTTTTTTTTGGATAGTCCGTTTGGGTATTTTTTAAGTTGCAACTAACAGAATTATAAATGCCTCAAATTGAAAGTTTGAACGTGCAATTTTAACAACTAGTAAGTGATTTTTGCATTCATTTCTTTTCACCATCACAAACTCAGAGCTACACTCCAATTCATCAGAGAGACTAGAGGGTTCCAACTGAACTCAATTTTTGAACCTTATAGCAGCTAGATGACCAGAATGTACCCATTTTATCAACCCATAACTTGTTGCACTTTCCTTTCACAAAAACCAAATTCATGTGCAAGAGAAAACAAAGAGAACTCAATGAATTACATTCTTTAATTTTCCCATGGAATCAGAAAACAGGAGCTTCGCAATGCTAAATATGGAAGACGAAGAACAATTCAGGAAGCTTACAGATAAAGGGGCAAGCCGGTGAGGGCATTTATCATCAAAAGCGACCCACTCGCCTCTCGATTTATCAAACCAAAGAACGATATCTCTACCCAGAAGCTGAAACGGGGTTGGCAAAGCAGGATCCAAATCTTCAATTAGGGAAACAGGGTACCAATTATCTCTCCAAGAAAACGGCGAAGACGAGCTCTCATTGCCCGACTCATCCACTTCCACTTCATCGGAATTCTCTACCGCAGATTTCTCGGAATCTGCCGTCGAGGGCGGCGTTGGAGGCGCAGCTACTCGAACCGGCCTGAGAGCTGCTGCCCTACTAGGCAATTTTCTCGCCAGAAAATTAGGGCTGCGATCCGCGGCGATTACAAAGGGGACTATTCTGCGAGATTTCACATCATATAACGAAGAGGTAATAAGAGTAGCAGAAGAAGCAGAGGTAGCGATCGAAAGAGCCATTAAAGGGAGAAAGAAAAAAAAATCTAGCTCAATCAAAACGAGCAATGAGAATTAAATTTGAAACGGAGACGATGAACAACTCTACAACAAATTAGAACTTGTTGCGTACACGTTTGTAAATGAAATTTCTGGGACTCTCTTCTAGAAGCCAGTGTGGGGCGTCTGGCCCGCAGCCATTGGAGGGAGGGGATTCAACGGGTTCAAATAGGGTTTTGGAGCTGGACGGATCACATCCACAGATTCTGAGAAACTTTGAACAGTTGAAAATTGAGATTCGAGGAGGAGAATTGATAGAGAAAGATCGGCGTCTTCTGAATTTCCACGTGAGCCGTGGTGGGACAGGAAATTTGTGGGATTTCCATGCGAGAATGTGAAGATTTTTCCCTCGATTCCCAATCTAGAACGAGAGAAATTCATCTTTCAGCAGATGTCTTTCTTTTCTCTCTTTTGTTTCTCATACAAAGGCATAAATAAGAAAGCCATGCAATTTACTTACAATAAGAGCAACTAATTCAGAAGACATATAACTGATTCAAGTCAAACTTAAGCACATTTCAACTTTTGCTCGTAAAATAAAAAAATAAAAAAAGTCAACACTATGATGTCTTAATGCAATCATGGTTATACTTTGACAGAGAAGAGCACTAATTTTTAATGTTCATGTTGAATCACTCCTAGGAAAGGAAGTCTTTGCCTCCATAACAAAAAAATAGACGATTGCAAGAAAAATAATAAGTGTTGATCTGTTAGCACTTATCTCTGATGACCACTATTAATTTTTTATAAATATGAGAGGAGAACGTAAAAAATGAGATTTTTTTCTATTCTTCAAGAAAAAATTTAAAGAACTGTCAAATTTGTAGTGGTTGTCAGCACAATACAGGTATCGTAAGAACCCAGTTATTGTTCATTGCAAATAGATAAAGATCTCAATGTGTGATATTATGATCTTTAAATAGACCAAGCCAAAGTCAAAATTATGAAAGTTGTCGTCAATGACATCTCACTGACCTTGTGTTTAATAACGTTAATCTACTTTATGACAACTCTTCAAATCATAGTACAAGAGAGAAGGTAATATACCTAATATCTCTTAGAAAATTTTCAAGACCAAGGAACATGAATGAATGTGTCCATTTTTTTCGTCCACTTTATCAAACATGATGGATGTGAATCGTGCTTTAGTAACTTCTACTATGGACCAACTAGTAGTTATACTCCTTTGTTAATATTGATTTAATAATGTGTTTCTTGCTACCTCCTTTTGGGCTTCTTTTACTTGTTATATTTTTACGACCCATTCTTCTTTATAAACTCAATTCATCTAAGTCTAAGTTTTGTTTCGTAAGGCTTATTTAAGCATCCTTATTCCTCTTTGTTGAGAATCCGAAGGGAGAACAAGATAAAGGAGAGCCACCTTGAGAGAGAGAGGTCAAGTCGCTGCCTTCATCCACCTTCGATTCCATCGCCGTCGTCGATCACAGTGCCGTCGAGGTTGGGTAGAAATCGATGCTACCGTCCGATTGAACGGAAAACGATGTCGCCGCCAGAGTGGTCGTGCAACCATAAGGTTCTTTGGCGATTTTGTTCAAATTCAGGCTTGGATTCGATGTAGATCGAAGCGTAGAGGTTGTATCTCTATATCTTTATTGGTTCTTAACTATTCTTTAAGAGATTTACATGTGTTTGAGATTGCTCCTCAAATATCTTCAAGACTTTGAGTAGAAGTTTTTTTGAAATGTAGATCTTGACTCTCTGTTTTAGGATTTCGATTCTGTTTTGGTGTATATACCTATTGTGTATCTCTAAATTCGATCTTTGTAGCTAATAATAAAGACTCACATGGATATTATGTTTACAAAGTGGATGTAGGTCCTATTTTAGGACTGAACCACTATAAATCTTGTGTCGATTCTCTATTTTACATTACTGTTAGTTGCTGGAAATTATCTAAAAAATAATTGAAACTTTTATGTGATTATTCATTTAGCATTTGTAAATACTCTTTTAGGCTTTAAAAACCTCTTAATTAGCATTTGTAAATATTCTTTTAGGCTTTAAAAAACTCATTAACTAAGAAAATTGATTTTAGAATTTATATAAAATTATAACATCCCTCAATTAATTTTTTAATTTATTTTAATTTATTCATTTTTTAGTTCAACAAAGAGTTTCGAACATCTAACTATTAAAGAGGTACTTGACCCATACAATTTATGAACACAAGAAGAGAGAAAGATGGTAATAAAAATAACGAGACACGAGATATTCGAAAGTGACCATATTACCGAACTTAACTTTTGTTGATCATGAGATTGTTTTCATTGTTCAACACCCCTTCGCTAACATGTATTTTGAATTTCAACCGAACATAACGTGTTGATCATGAGATTGTGTTGATTTTCATTGTTCAACGCCCCTTCGCTAACACGTATTTTGAATTTCAACCAATACGTCCATAAATCGACATAAGATATCACATCACTAAGCAACTAATATGCATTATCAAACACGAAACATAAGATTATTTTCATTGTTTGGCCATCATTCAATTCTCCAATGTGTTGAATTTCACGGATAAATTGGGGGTGCCAAATTCAGTGACTAAAAAACTAATTAACTCATTTGCATTGATTAGGTTTAGACATTATTATTATTATTATTGCCATGTAGTTTCAACCTAAAATTAATTCATTGATTTTTAGGTCCGACAACCATAAGAATTGAAACTACTTGATTTAATTTTCTAAAACCATACACAGAATTGAAACTAATTGTTTGGACATATTTTTATGTCTCAATTAGAGATGTTCTATGTAACTCCTTGGAGTTTCCCAATTTTTGGTAAATGTTCTAAGAATCAGAAATTTCCCATCTTATCAATAAAATTATTTCTTATGTAAAAGGGACTAGTAAATGTTCAATCACTTGCTTGTGCAAGTATGAAATAATGAGTCAACTAGAACAGTATCTGATTGGATGAAAAAAGAGATTTATATTGAAATGTCCACAAACATACACTAAAAACTATGAACAAAGAATAATTGCCCAATACAAAATATACTGATTGTGGGTTGAACCAAGCTCTCAATTAGAGAAATTCCTTAACAATTAGAACAATGAGTGTTCATAATGATCATACGGTCGAATTGTGCGAAGTTCTAGTCTATATTCAGAGATGCTATCATAAAAAGTCAAGATGAACCCTAGAATTTGAATTGCTAATCAAAGTTCAATTGCAGAGACAGGCACAAGAATATGAACTCAATAAGTTAAAATTAGGGTTAAAACTTGGAAATCCAGCACACAAATCGAACAGAGTGCAATCCTAATAATGTGGCCAGAATCGAGAAGATAACTTAAGGAATCGCGTTTTATAAACCGATTATCATTCAGTTAATTCCAAAATATGCAACAAAAAGAAGCGAGATGAACGATTCAGACGAGTGAGGCAGCTTTTTTACACAAGAAAGCCCTAATCTACGAATCTAAGAACTAGTAAACTTGGTTACAGCCTTGGTACCCTCAGAGACGGCATGCTTGGCCAACTCACCAGGAAGAACGAGGCGCACCGCCGTTTGGATCTCCCGAGAGGTGATGGTCGGCTTCTTGTTGTAGCGAGCGAGCTTGGAGGATTCCTGAGCGAGCTTCTCGAAAATGTCGTTGATGAAGCTATTCATGATTCCCATGGCCTTGCTGGAGATTCCGATGTCGGGATGAACCTGCTTCAGCACCTTGAAGATGTAGATCTTGTAAGTCTCCACGCTCTTCTTCGACCTCTTCTTCTTCTTGTCGGCGGCATCTTTCGGCAGCTTCTTCTCGGCTCTCGGCTTCTTCTCCGCCTTCTTCTCCTCCGCCGCCGGCTTCTTCTCAGCGGGCTTCTTCTCGGCCTTCGGCGCCATTATTGAAGTTTACGGAGAAATTTGGGGGAGTTCGCAGCGATGAATTCTTAGAGCGAAATTGGGAGTGGATTCTGAATTGAGGAAGGAGGGACCCGGTATTTATGGATGGAAACGGTGCGAGCTGATTGGTTGATTTGTTTTGACACGGATCGGTGACGTGGACGGTGGAGATTACGGGAGGCTCATCAGAGGCGCGGTTCGACCAATTTCGCTGTCGTGAAAACTTTTGAAGGATTTGGTTTTAGCGGGTTTTGTTTCGCGGGTCATTTTTGGAGGGCGAGTGAAATTACAAGTTTAGTCATTTATGGTCCGTGTTATAGTCATCGTTTCTTGCTTCTTATTTCTAATTTTATTAGAAAATATTTGCATTTGACGAATAATTTTACTAATAGATTCAATAAAATATATTTGATATATGGAGCCTACTGAGTATATAATTGAAAATTTAGAGATTCATGTAAATATATTAAATTTTAGATAGGCGCCTAACGTGATTTGAATTTATTCTCTCTAAATTCTTTACTATTTACATTGGTCCTTATTGATCTCAATACAAGGTGGTTTACAAAATTGAAAGTTCAAAGTTTTATTAGTCGTAAACTATAGATTTCACGGACTAAATTTGTAGTTATATTTTTATTAAATTAAAGTTACAGTTTTTTAAACTTTTAAGGTCGTATAAGTCCTTAAATTTTAAAAATATTTAATATTTGTGAGCCATTTTTACTAAAATGAAAAAAAAAGTTTAAAATTTTAAAAAATGTTTAATAAATTTTCGAACTTGGAATGTTTTAGCAGGCCAACAATAGTATTTAAAGATTATGCAATTATAACATGATAACTTTAATGTGTCAAAGTGGGATATGTTTTGACAACCAAATCTATCTCACTTGTCAAGTTAAATTTTCCACCTCCTAATCAGATCATCTTTAAATTATACAATTATTGTGCCACCTAAGCAATAAAATAGCGACATGAGTCTATTAGATATAAAATGATGGTTGAGATTTATTGGACAATTTTTAAAGTTTATAAATTTATTAACAACAATCTCGAAGCTTTTAAACACTCTTGAATATTGAAATTAACTATTAGATCAAACTCTCAAAACTTATCCACGAAACTTGTTATTTAACATTTCTCATTATTGTACTAAAAAAAATAATAATAACATTTCTCATTATTATCCCATAACTCTAATACTATGCTTTAAAATATATTTACATTATATTTTGGTTTCAATTTCAACCCATGAAACTTTAATAAAAATAAATAAATAAAACCATTTTAATTCTCCATTTTTTTTTAATGTTTTACAACATCCTGGAATACTTGAGAATTGAATCTCCAACTTTTTGTTAAATAATAAATATCTTAATCAGTTGAGTTATGATTAGGTTGACAAAAGTCATTTCAATTTTTGCTATTGTTCTACCATCAATTTTTTAATATACAGATAACATGATTCTATATATTTTCATTAACGTGTTTGATGATACATCAATTAGTTGAGGCAGATATTTCACGAATTATGCGATATTTTTTATAATATCTACCTCACTTAATATTTATGTGTCCTCACATCTAATGTTTGTCCCCACCAACTTATATATGTCCATATCAACACATCAACATACATATATACATACTCGAAATCATGTTATTTATCTATTAAATAATTAATGACAATAAATAAAAATGATTATAAGTTAAATTAAAATATATATTTTAAAAGTTCAAAGACTTAAATCTTATTTTGTCCATGAACTTGGATCCAAAATTGACGGATTAGTGTGAGATTTCCAGCTCAATTTTGATGTTATCTACGTTAATTAAATAAGTGTCAGAGAATTTTGTGGGTAAAGTTCGTGTGTTGTATTTCACGATTATAATTCGTGATATTAAATATCTCTTGAACGTAAACATATTTATATATCCATGAGTTTGATAGAGATACAAAGACTAAATCATATTTTTATCATATTACAGAAAAAAAATTGATAAAATATGAAAAATATATTAAAAAAATGTCACTAAATATTAATATTAACCGTCTTTAACTTATTTATAAATATAAAAATGTTTATTTGTTAATTTAAATATTTTTTATGATTTTTTAATTTCTCTAACTTTATAAAAAATATCATCGACATCGACACTGTATCAATATTTCTATAAAATTGAGATCTCATTTAAAACCTTGATTAATATTCTACYAGGAAATCAACTTTTTTCAATTTTACCTTTGACTTTTTACATATATGTAATTTTTCAATATGCTATGAATTAAAAGGGGTAAATTAGAGCCAATCTGAACATAGCTCAACYWATTCATCTCGAATTGATATATGATATCAAAGTCCAACAAGGATAAACGAGTATCCGATCATAACCGGTTGTTTTTTAATTACATGCTCTTGGTAGGCTTGTAAAGTTATACTAATCACCCAAATCTATCCTCTTGCAAACAAATTTTTTTTTCTAGAGCTTCTTAAYGGAACAACAGGATAAAACCTCCCATATTTAAATACATAGAAAATTCTTCTTTAATCACAGAAACAAATAATGTTAATCCATTCATGCCTAAGTATTACTTACATTCAACCACTGTATTCCTAAATTATTATTCTAAAAAAACTATTATATAGTAAGGTGCACAACTCTTGGTCCCTTTTTATATACTAAAATGTTAAAAATTCTTAAAAATCAATTACCTAAGATATAAGGTGTAAGTACAAGTCCAAAGATTACAGGCTTTAACTCAATATGTTGTTCAAATATATCCTACAAGAATTTTAATTTTTGGCAATATAATTTTTTAAAACAAGAGAAATTTTATCAGAAGCGACAAGTTTGAAGGTTTCGTCGATACTACTTTTTGTTCTTGATCGATTAGTATTGTGTCAGGAAAAATAGGTAATGTCGATGAAACAACTTTTTGTTGGCAGAAGTCGAGTTTTCCAAGTTGTTTCGTCAAGAAATGAAATGGGTTTTACGTCGATGCTTGTGGGGGATTTCTTCCTATGCAAGATCTACTAAAAACCTAACTAGTACAATGCAAAAACCACCCAACTTTTATTCAAAGTCCTATAGGTTTAGACTCAATTTGGCTAGTTGAAAGAGTGAATGAGATGTCGTTTCTAAGCTCACGCATTGGCGCAGTGGCATTCTAAAGAAAGTGTCTTTTTTTTTAATACAATATTTGGTGTGGGGAGTCGAACTCACAAACTCTTGATTTGAGATTTATATCAATTAACGTTGAGCTATGCTTGCTTTGACCGTTCCAAATAAAGTTTCTTCGCCTCTAAAGACTTATGATATGATAATAGGTACCATATCGACTTTAACTCATACGTAAGTTCATGGATTGAGAAAGGGAAAATATAATGTCTTGGATAAACTATTTTGAAAACTTATTTTCACAAGTATTCAATGTTTACAAATTTTACAGTTTTAGATTTATGAATTTAAAACTTTTTCCAAATATCAAATTTATCCTTATTTATTTATTATAATTATTATTTTATTTAAATGCAAAAGATTAATGTTCCAAATTTGATTTCGTAAAACATTAAATTATTATGGGATTAAATCAATCATTCTATAATCCCCTAATTTACTCCTTGATATCTTGTATCGAGGAATGAAATTTATTACAAAATATTCAATTATTCTCATACTCCTCAAATTTACTCTTTAATATATTCTACTAAATAATGAAATTTATGACAAAATATTTTTTCATTTAATTTCAATTTCTTTGCCCAATTTTAATACTATAGCCTTTATAACATACACTTATGTGAGGTATATATATATATATATATATTTTGGAGATATAACTATATCTGGCTATCTTTTCATTTATATGGAAATATAAACTATATTCGGCTATAAATTTAAGCAACATACACTTAACAATAGTGATATAAACTATAGTCATTATAACATACACTTAACAATAGTGATATAAACTATAGTCATTATAACATACACTTGTATGAAATATAACCTATATCTGGCTATAAAGTATATACGACTATATCCCTCTACAATTAACAAACATAGCAAATAACCTACAAACCTTCTGATAAACGACTAGACAATGGTCGGGATAAACGAAGGACTCAACCATAAAATGATAAAATATTGGATTTGGATTGACTCAAATTATTCTAATCACTTTTTTTTTTGGTTTTTTTTTGTTTTATAGAAATAAAGTGTTACTTTCTATTTACTTATTTTCAAATATTGTTTATACTCAAATTCCATTCAAACAAATTTATAAACCCGTACCATATGAGTTGAGTTAGATGGATAAGAGTTCTTTGAACATCATTAGTAGCCACTATACAAATACATAATTTCATAGGGTTCTTACATAAAGTTATTGCTCTAAGGATGCGAGCGTTAAGACTTCTTATTTATTTTTTTAAAGTCAAAGGTTTAAAATATCCACCGCATATCTGTGGTTACAAAAGAGGAAAATTATTGGTTTATCTTTTTTGAAAATGGAAAAATTATTGTTCTACTTTATGAGACAACTCCTTTTATATTTATCAAGGAAAAAAATACATTTGTGGTCTATGAAGTTTGGAGTTAGTGTTTATTTGATCTCTGAAATTTTAAAATAAACAATTTTGGTGTATGAGATTTGAAGTGGGTGCTTCTTTGTTACTTGAAATTTAAAATATACACTTTTGGACCTTGAAGTATGAAAAATTATTCTAAATAGTCATAAACATTATTTTACTATTAGTTGATTTAATGGTAAAATGACATGACAAATTAATAATTGATTGATTTTTCTATCTTCTCTTCTTAAATAAGTGGTAGAAAGTTACTAATTTTTACATAATTCTATTATCCAATCACGATATTTTATTTCTTCCTCCTCATTTTTTTCCTCTCCCTTTTTCTTTGTTCTCTTAATCTTCTTGCCATTGCGTATTGTCGTCGTTGTCATTGTTGTCGTCACTGTTGCTAGTCGTCGCTCGCCATAGATAAGGAGAGCTCTTCCCTCTCTTTGACGACGACAAGGAAGATGATGGACAGTGGACGTCGGAGAGCTCGTCAATGTCGCTGAAGAGAGGGAAAGTTGCTCAATCTATCTCATTCCAAATGGAGGAGAGAGAGAGGGGGCGGAGCTTTCCCTCTCTCCGACGGGACGATGAAGGGCACGATAAAGACGATGAACTCTATCAATGACGTTGGGCGACAATGAGAAGATGAGGAGAACCAAAAAAAATAGAGGGAGAAGAAAGAAAATGCAAGTTAGATAATAAAATTATGTAAAAAAATTAATAACTTAAAAGAATCAAATAAATACTCAACTTAAATTTAAGAGACAAAAATGTATTTTTTTTCCACTTTTCTTATCTACACTGAAATCCCAACCCAACATTCATTTTGAGCTTCCAAAATGACCCGCGAAAACTTCGAAATTTTCGAACGCAACCAAACGCGAACCTGAAATTCAAATCTCCCAAAAACCAGCCATAAGTCAAATCAGCCGTCCGATATGTCCTACCTAATCTCCGCCGTCCACGTCACCGATCCGCGTCTAAATGAAACGAGCCAATCACGTCGCGCCGTTCCCACCGATAAATATTCGCTCTCTCCTAACCTTTCTTAGAACTCGCTTTTGCTCTCATCGTCTCATCAAGAATCCATCTCTTATAAACCTTTCAATTCCTTCGTAAACTTCAACAATGGCGCCGAAGGCCGAGAAGAAGCCCGCCGAGAAGAAGCCGGCGGCGGAGGAGAAGAAGGCGGAGAAGGCGCCGGCGGAGAAGAAGCCGAGAGCCGAGAAGAAGCTGCCGAAGGACGCCGCCGACAAGAAGAAGAAGAGGTCGAAGAAGAGCGTGGAGACTTACAAGATCTACATCTTCAAGGTGCTGAAGCAGGTTCATCCCGACATCGGAATCTCCAGCAAGGCCATGGGAATCATGAACAGCTTCATCAACGACATTTTCGAGAAGCTCGCTCAGGAATCCTCCAAGCTCGCTCGCTACAACAAAAAGCCGACCATCACCTCTCGGGAGATCCAAACGGCGGTGCGCCTCGTTCTTCCTGGTGAGTTGGCCAAGCATGCCGTCTCTGAGGGTACTAAGGCTGTAACCAAGTTTACTAGTTCTTAGATCGACAGATTAGGGATTTTATTGTGTAAAAATCAGCCTGACTTTTTTGAATCGATGATTTCTCTCCCTTTTGTTGAATATTTTGGATTAAATCGAACGAAAATCACTATAGATGACGCGATTCCTTAGTTGTATGTTTGAATCTGTCAACATTTATCAGATTGTAGTCTGTTCGATCTCTTGATTTTGCCCTAATTTAATCTTATCTAGTTCATACTCCTTCCTGTAATTTTATCTGCAATTCGTACTTCTAGGTTCATTGTGTTAATTTCGTGATAAATTTGCGCCTCTGAATATTTCGCTCAATATTGTGTTCGATCTTGACTAGTATTTGGGAAGATTTAACGTTTGAAACAGAATTAACTTCAGGAATTAAATGACAATTAAGCAAAATATAATTTCCTTTTTGAGTTCAACTGCGCAAGGAAAAATTAAGATGATTACATTATTTAAAAGTTTCGTACGATACGTTTATGAAATTAAGTAATGATAAATAATTTTATTCAAAATGTCATACATTGAGTATAAGATTATGTATTGTAATTTCTAAATTTAAATCAATTTTATGTTTGAACTAAGTTCTTCATGATAGTTTATTTTTGTCCACATTAGATATCATAAATATACATACAATATCATATAAATAATTTCATATTCCACCATGCTCACAAATTACCATATCGTTACGATCAAAATGTTGTAGATTAAAATTTATACTATACTAAAAAAATCACCATTTGTATTCATTATTTTTTTATTTTTTATTTTTTATTTTTTTAAGATTGTACTCATTACTTATGCATACATAAACTATTAACGAAGAACTCAAAATTAACAAGCATGTTGGAAAAATCATATTATCCCAAATTACGACCACACATAATAAAATTAGAAAGAAATTAAACACCCTTATGAAATTAGTTTGAATGATAAATCTCCAAATTAGTCCCCTCATTTTTTCAACAAACTTTAAACTCAAAGAAAGAAGAAAGAAAACAAATATGAGAAAAACCATAGTGTATGATGATGATATCCTTTTATTCCATCACATAATCTTCATCAAATTAAACACAACAAACAGGAACCTATAAACTCTATATATAACCTGCAAATTAAATCACATCCCGTCGAAAGATATTTTAATTCCTTTTACATCTTAATATTTCTCAATTATATCCTTCTTGTTGGCTACTGTTAAAATCAATAAAATCAGTTGATGATGAACTTACCTGACATGTACTTGATGGGAAAATGTAAAAGTTTATTTTCCTAAAATATCATGCCAGGAAGTTTATCATAAACTAATTTTAATATTAACTAACAAAATTGGTATAATATAATGAAAATTCATAAAATGTAAAAGACTAAATTCAAACTTTTTAAACACCCAAATATCAGATATCCGAGATTAAAACATATATTTAGCCTAATATATATATACACAAATAAACTAGTCTAAGTAAAAATCCACTTGAGTGATGAACACATACTGATGTTCTCTTCTCGTTTCGGTTTCACAAGTCAAAATTTGCCCCGAAAATTCGCCGATGAACCGATCGCCGGAGCATGACCGACGAACAAAGCAACATGACCCATCAACTTATCCTTCCTTGAAAATGTGGTTCCACAAGAACAGAGCCATTTGACATCCCCACAGTGCTTCTCATGAGTCCTGAGATCAGAAAGCACTGAAAATTTCTTCCTACTGCAGAGTTTGCAGACATACATTTTGGGGCAATGGGTTCTCTTGTAGTGATTCTTCACACAAATGAGTGACTTCAATGGCTGAAACTTGGCATGCTTTTGGTTCCATCTGCAGCCTTGTTGTGGGCATGAATATTTGGTCCCCATCTTTGTTACCTTCAAGTCCCTCCCTTGGCTCCTCTCCGGGTTGCTCAAAGCTCCGCTCGCTTTGTACTCGTCCCCGTGCGCTCGCATGTGCATTCTCAGGTTTGCGTCTCGCTTCAACCCTTTCCCGCAAATTCGACAGTAATGCGTGTACTTGGCTAGAAGATCAGAGGCCTCTAGCTCCACGATATCGGCCGAAATCCGATGATTCTGTATCGTTGTCGTCGTCGTCGTCGTCGTCTCTTCAATTCTACTATTGTTGTAGCAGTCGTTGTTGTTGTTATAAGTCGTTGTCATGTTGTTATACCACTCGTTGTGGTCGGGGTGGTTGCTCGCCATGTCAAAGAGGGCGGTGGATCGGTTGTTGTCGGCGAGACCTTGACGATGGAGATCGTCGACGATAATATCGTTGCGGACAGAGGAGTTGACGACGAGGTTGTTCATCTGTTGACAAGTGAACAACATGGAGGAAGCAGTCATGATGAGTTCTTGGACCATAGAGTTGATGGCTACCGTCGCCACAGGCGACGACAGCGCGGGTAGAGACTCGGGCGAGTTTTGATGGTTGCAGATGACGATGTTGACAACGGATCGGATTTGGTGGAGTTTCTCCTTCACAATTGAGAGGTTGTGAAGGAGAGAGGTGGAATGGGAGCCAAAGGAATCGAGGTGGTGTAGGGTTTCATGGTTTGGGGATGAAACCAAGGGATTTTGCGAAGAAGGAAAAGGGAGCATTTGGAAATTTGAAATGATCATGATTTCAAAACTCACATCTTTTGTTCAAAAGAAAGTGATTATATATTGGGAAAATGCAGTTCATGTTGGTGTTTGATCTTTTAGTTTCTTCTTGAAATCCCACAAATAAATGAATAAAAAAGGGATTTTAAAACAAAGAAAAAAGATTGAAAGTCAACTGTGTGAAAGCCTTAAGTGATACATCCCCACATATGGCCTCCTCCATATCTCACCACTTTTAATTTCAATCTTGAGATGATGTTTCTTTAAACAGATAAGAATATTAACAAAAACAGCAATAAACAAATGGAATGAGAGGGAGGGAGGTGAAGGAAGTTGACATTGATAAAATGGATAATACTTTGATGCCATCGATATGTTTTTGACGTCTACGAGAGTAGAGAGGAATGCAGAAAGAAAGAAAACATGAAAAATGTTATTTCTTTAAAAGAAGTAAAAGAATGGTTGTCAACCTTTTTAATGGTGCTCAGCAAGAAGATACATATATTTTGATCGCTCAACATCTAAACAGTGTTGTTTTCAAGGAACGGTCCAGTTGGCAATGCTTGAGGTCTCTCGATCATACTGGTTTAAAGGTCTCAAGTTCAAACCTTCGTCACTAAGACCTCGGTATTCTATTTCATGGAACTTGAAAAGCTCTCGTTTCCAAATTTCACAACTCTGACAATGTTTTTAAAAAGTGATAAACAAGTAACCTAAATAATTGTCAAATGCTTAAATTTGTTAATAAAATTGGAAACTAGAAATAAAAAAGGGGAACATTACCAAATATTTTTTTTGAAATGCAGAGATGTATTGTTGATCATCAGCTACACTATTAGATATTAATGGCTCAATTAAGTTTAGTTTGTGTCAAGTCCAAGAATTTGTAACATTCAAGCACATTAGTTGGGTTTTTATCTTACATAACGACCAGAGAACTTGCTCATTAGGTAAGTGAGAATAAGAGATTCAAGCCCTTCACCAGATACTTCTTAAATCAATAATTATTTTTTAAGGAAAATTTAAAAAAGAGCACACCCAATTAGGTTCACCTTTTCTAAATTTCTAGACACAAACAATTTTTTTATTTTTTTTTTACAAAATTTGATCGATTATTAAATTAGAATGTATCCAACATGAAGTTAACTTAAGATTTGAATAATTTAAGGCATACAAGGAAAATGGTTTGATATTTTCAAAAGAAAACTTTTATGAAGAAGAAATCAAAGTAGTTAGGTAGAATCCAAAGTGTTGTTTTCAATTCATTTTCACTTTGGTTGACTTTAGCATTATATTAATTTTGATTATTCAATCAAGTGTAAACTTTATGCTATATAAAACTCCCAAGAAGTTTTGTAATTAGGGATTTTAATATCAATAAAAATCTAATTGAAGTCATGGGTGAGCCTTACATATATTTCAAAATGTTTTGAGAAAATGATGATGATTGCTTTTACAATTTTTTAAAAATTTTAAACCAAAAATATATTAAAAAGGTTCACTTTTGAATTATTTTTCGTACTTTCAGAAATACTACTTTTCATTTTCTTTTAGAGATAAATATTTTTTTCTACTTTTGTTTAGAATCTATTTTAAAGATTGAGGAAAGAGTCACTAAACTAGCTAGAAAACATTTATTCTTTATCTTTTTTTTTTTTAAGAAATGAAAACATTTATTCACACAAGGTCTATTTATTTTTTAGATGAAAAATGTCCACATAAGGCAATAATCTATCTCTATCTTATTATTATGTATATAAGAGTGTAGATGGTGGTTTTTTTTTTTCTTTTAACAAAATTTTGAATCCACGATCTTTTGGTTGGTAATATATGCCTTAACCATTAAGCTATACTAATAAAATTAGTCGATTTGTTCCGTCCAAAATGGAAATGAGCTAGGATTATAAACTTCTAATCTATAATCTGATGTCAAGTCGATTGACTTTTTTAAAAGAATAATGAATACGTATTGAGAAAGAGTTATTATACAGTTAAGTAGCATATATGGTTTTTGTGAAAGTAGCTAGCAATCAAATTAGAAGAATATGATGGAAAATATTAGTAGAATAGTTAGTTGATTGACTTTTTTTAACATAACATTGAATATATTGGAAAAGAATTACTATTGTGTGTGCAACAAATTACAACAGTCTCAGCCGACCATGTCAAGATGGACCGATTGGGCGAGCTAAAGAATCGGAGTGAGTTGGGAGATCTTGTACTGGAAGGACCTGCATAAGGAGGTAAACACTCTGACGCTCAAGTTAGTAAAGAGCTTGGCCAAGGTATTAAGATCGAGATAGAATCAGATACCTTGCGGAATGAGGCTCTGTTTATAGGTTTAGGCGTATAACAGTGCATCCGACCGCCAGTTAAGCATGTCGGGAAACTACTATTCCTAACGGAGATGGTCGTGCTACATATGCGAAGTCTGAGCCTCTGCACACGCTTATTTGATCGTGTAGTTGGTTGTTCCGGAGGTTGAACAAGCATTTCAAATCGATTCGCCTAGCGGCAACTCCGCTCTCTCGAATCGATTGTCTCGAACCATCAGACTATCATCCAGTAAACGTTCTCCACGTGACAGTGCTATTTTTCACCTCCAACAACTACACAGTTGGTTTTTGTGAAAGTAGTAATCAAATTAGAAAAATGTGATGGAAAATATGATCAAAATACTTAGAGTATGGGTAACCCAAACTCAAAAGCATCCACGAGGATGATATTTATAGGTGTGGAAACTGAATTTGAATGTATTTCAAATAGAGTGACAAGTGCTTTGGGTATAAGCTTTACGATTTTGTTTTTGGTTTCATCCAAAAGATTTCATATCAATAGAGATAATTGTATGCCACCTATATTATTAATACTAACTAAATTGTTATAATAAAAAAATATTTACTATAAATCATATGGTAATAAAATAAAATAAATTTTATTAGTATGGTAATTAAAAAGAAAATATTACCACAATAACATATTTATAATTAACTAGAAAAAAGGAAGGAGTATACGAGTAATAATTGTTACATATTTGGTTCTGGTTCTGATTCTGATTCCAGAAAATTTTTAGTAAGCATTCCTATTTCGATTTATTTTTATTCCGATTTTATTCACATTTCGATTCCTGATAAGTAAACATGGTCTTAAAGTTAACCAAGCNCCAAAAAAAAAAAAAAAAAACAAAAACAAAAACTAAATAAATAAAGAGGTCACCCTCATATACAAAGAGATTTGAGAGACAATCAAAAGGATTAAAGCGAAGATTTAGAAATTAGAGAAAAATCCCAAAAGATTGAAGATTCTTTGAAGTCATGAAGACTTCCCGAAGACTAGAAATTTGAAAATCAGAACACTTTGAAACTTGAGATGTCTTTGAAGATGAGAGATCTCTCAACAAGTCGAAGAATTTAAACAAACAAGTCGAAGAACTTCAACAAGCTCCAAGTTAGAGACTTCAACTAGTTACAAGCCGAAGACCCCACTTGATACGAGAACAACCTCACCATCCCTAGAATCAAAATTTAAGATTATACATTTGATAGTGAAACACTCACATACATAAACACAAAATCAAATTTACTTATTTCGAGTTTCACTCCTAAAATTCCCAGTAAACATTCTTGCCCCCGCTCAATAAACTAAAAAAATATCCATAAACACTTTAGCCAAAAAAGAAATATTAGAAAAATAAAAACCTTTACCTCTTGTAGAAACAAGATCCATAAAAAGAGATTATGAATCAATGGCCCATACTCTCTAAAGCATAGACAAATCAAGTGAGAGTTGTCCTTTTTCTTCTCAAGTATATTGAGATCATTGAAAATGGCTTTTCCTTCCTAATTTCCAACCAAACCCACAACTCAAAACCATTGCTTTATTAGTTGTTAAAACCAAATTTATATTAAGCTAAAAATTAAGATTCATGTACAATGGATATGGGCTTCTTTTTGAAAACTCTCTCTTGGTTTTATGGTATATATTAAGATGCTTTGCCCCAATTCTTCATTTATTATTGCTAAAGGGATAAGCTTTTTATGGGTTTTGGTCTTAATTAATAAGGGACATTCAATGATTATGATGGACTTGTAATGTGTGTCCATGCATGGCATTATATTGGTAGGTGCTTTATTTTAATAGTTTAATATCTTTTCAACGTCTAACTTTAGCTAGTTTTAAATAAATATGCCATTATTGTTGTAGTAATAATGTTTAATTTATTACTATAGGGTGATAAAAATAAAGATACAAGGATAAATTTTGAAATGGATGAAAGGGTTGTTTGATTTTTTTTTTCTTTTGTTTATTTATTTATTTTTTACAAAGACTATTTAATATAATAGTTTGTTTATTAGTAGATAAATTTTGATTGGATTGATATTATGTGGTAGATAACGACTAAACTTTACCAAAAAAAAAAAAAAAGATAGCCTAAATAATGCAACTTAAACATTTTGCTAATTATATTTTATAGTAGAAATTAAATAGAAGTAATTTTAAAGTTTACCGAGTTGGATAAGATATCTATAAAATATAAAAATTAGCACGGTTCAATTCTATTTAGTTTTGTAGAATTTTAAAATCTTATATTTTGTCATTTCAATTAAAGAAATTTCATTTCTAAAACAATAAAATGTGATATTTGAGACCTATAGCCCATTAACCTTGTAGAGTAAAATGGAAGCTTTAGAAACCAATGGACTAGGCGTCAAAGATTAAAAAAAAAATCCAAGTTATCAAAATATATATTTGAAGATAAAGTTGAAAATTAGTGGTTTACAAATTAAGCTCCGCTAAACTTATATTGAAAGGTCGAATTTGTGTTTTGATATATCTCAAATCAACAGATTGTGAGTTTGAATCTCCTAAAAAAAACTATGAATTATCTATTAATTATATGAGCTAGGAAAGTTTGTATTACATAAATGATGAAACTAAATTTTTGTGTTCGTAATTTTGATTAAATTATTTAATAAATTTTGGTAGCTGTGTGTATTTAGTCAATTAATATTTAAAATTTCTCTTAAATTTTTAATATTTAGTCATTCATGCAAAATTAATAATTAATGACCATTT